GGGTCAGGAGAGGTCTGGCTCGCCATGTGGTCTCCTCCGGGGAAGGCAGCAGGCGGGAATCGAACTCATGCGGAAGTGGCCTCAGATTCTCAGTGCTGCGCTTCAACCCCCTGCCCCACCAGGGAGGGCCAGAGTCAGAACATTTTTAAAAAGGACAATGGGAAAATTGGAAAAGAACCTAACAATTAATAGTATTTGCAAAAAAACTAAACCAGTTAAGAGAATGTCATCAAGAAAACTAGAGAAGCCAGTCCAGGAATGAGCAAAAAATGGAACCTTTGATTATGTGTAATCTTCCAGGCAGAGGGTGGTGGTCAAAGTCTGACCAGAGTAGTTAGGCTAGGCTGGGGGACAGGCAGGTTACCATGTAGCTGTGTTTGACAATGGTGAAAATGAGGAAGAGCTGTGGAAACTGGGGATGGGACAGGCCTCTGAGGAGGCCTTTTAAGGCCAGATGAAGGGTGTTGGTTGCTCTGAGGAGCAACAGTGGGCTCTTGGGAAGGGGTAGGGAGAATGCCCCACAGGGGCCATCAGGTTGTGGTACAGGCAGAAAGATGGATTGGGCAGAGCTGTGGAGAGGGTCTCAGGTGATGAAGGCTGAGATGTGGCCGTTTCTGAGCCACCCTCCCAGAGAAAGCTGGATTGGGAGTTGGGAATGAGGGAGAAAATTACTCTGAAGGTTCAGTAGTCCAGACTGGCCAAGTTTCTGTGCACGTGCATCTTCTTTCTGGACCACTGCTGTTTTCTTGGGGGCCCTCCCTGTTGGCTTCATGTTTCTGAGACTTGAACAGGCCACAAGTACCCAGAGATGTTTAAAAAATTACCCTCCGTAGGGTAATTGTCCCTTGCTTTTCTTCTTTCAAAATATGAGCCATCCAGTGAAGACCCAAGGCTGGGCGGAAGGGAGTTAATTCCCAAGGGGACTTGTTTCTCAGGGTAAGTTTACCGGGAGGTTTTGCTCAGGATTATTTCTGGAGTAATAACTACTGAGGAAATTCTAGACAGGCTGAGGAGGGAGTGGAGGAAACGAGAAAAAGCTAGGAATGTACCGCCTTTTAAAGGAAGGTCAGGTGAGCATTTGAGAAAGCCCCTGTGCCAGCTCCTGTATCCCAAAGATCTAGGACCACAGGCACCTGGGCAGTCCCCTGAGAAATCTACTAGAGTTTCTCGCTATGTGTGGCTGGCGTGACTTAATGAAGAAATGAGCAGCACATCCATACAGACCAGTTAATGCCCCCATCATGGCTGAACATGTATTTTAGTGACCACTTCGTCTCAGCTCAAATTCCTTTGGTTTTCACTCACATTTTATTAAACTATAAAGCATTTTTATTAGTTCATTTAACTGAAAAGTCTAAACCTTAGGTGCCCTTCAGTTTACCCTAGAGATTCATGATGTCATCAAAGCTACAGCTGTGTTTTTCTGCAATTCTCTTAGCTCTGTTGTGTTGCAGAAGTGGGTGACTGGCCTAGCTTAATTCTGACCCTTGGACTCATCATAATGGATGAAAGGATAGGCAAACTCTAATTAGCTTATCCATGCAGCTTACCCCTAAAACTGGGTTTGGGGAGGTCCCTTTTTTTTTTTTAATAGATTTATTTTATTTATGTATACAGAACTGGGTCAGGCCAGAGGTACAGGAAGGTTGAGAGGATTCACCAGAGAAAGAATGGGGAGCAGAGCAGGCAGATTGACTGAAATACACTGCTGAGGGGAGCAGCGGGAGGGTCAGGAGAGGTCTCTTGGGCCCACTGAAGTGGTTGCAGCCAGCTTGCATTACTGTATCCTAACCTGTTGTGCCACAAGGGAGGGCCCTCTTTTCTTTTTTTAATTGAACTTTTAAATTTTTTTAACACTGTAGTTCACTTTCTACAGTATTTGATTTCTCCCTTCAGGTATAGCCCTCATAAATCTCCACTGCCACATCACCTATGAACCGTCACCCAGGTGTTTTGTGTTCTTCTCCCCCTGTTTTGATCCCTCTCCCACCCCCTTGCAATTCCTTTTACCTAAATCAGATAGCTACTATACCACAGGGGAGGAGTAGACATTAATGCCCCTCAGTTGTCAAAACAGTACATCACACATAAAAATAGTAAAATCAGCTTAGGGAAACATTGTAGGCCTTAAGTGGGTGGGGTGGAAATTAGGACATGTGAAAACCATGTTAGTCCATATATAACATAATCTCAGAGTGCTAGGAATACAAAATGTGAGCACATTAAGTTTTTTTTTTTTTAAGATGTATTTATTTATGCATACAGAACTGGGGTACAGGCCTGGGGTACAGGCCAGAGGTGCAGGGGCGGCGAGAGGCTTCACCAGAGACAGAGTGGGGAGCAGAACAGGCAGAGCGACGAAGCACACTGCTGAGGGGAGCAGCGGGCGGGTCAGGAGAGGTCTGCCACGCCATGTGGGTCACCTCTGGGGCGGGGATCCAACTCATGCTGAAGTGGCTTTAACTTCTTAGTGCTGTGCTTTAAACCCGTTGTGCCACCAGGGAAGGCCCTAAGTTTATATAATTTTTATGAGGGCTCTCTGGTGGCACAAGTGGTTAAAGCGCAGCACTATGAGGCAATCCACAGTCACTGTCGCATGAGTTTGATCCCAGCCAGGGAGCTGACTCACATAGCACAGCAGACCTCTCTTGTCTCCCTGCTGCTCCCCTCAGCAGTGGATTTCAATTGATCTGCCTGTTCCGCTCCCCACCCTGTCTCTAAGGAATCCTCTCAACCCACACACCTCTGCCCTCTACTCCAGTTTTTGCATGCATAAATATATAAATCTTTTAAAATATATATACTTTTTAGTAATTTACATTTACATATGTCTATAAATTTGGGGGTATTTTCACACCTCCATAGGTGCAGGTGTTTCACTTATCCTCCACCAACGCTCTCGCCAATGTTGTATCCATCTAACCACCTCCTTCCCCTATCG